GACCTGCTGGCCACGCTTCTTTTGATGCAGCCCAGGATACGATTGGCCTTCTGGGCTGCGAGCACACATTGCTGGCTCATGTCCAGCTTTCCATCCACCAGTACCCCCAAGTCCTTCTCAGCAGGGCTGCTCTCAATCCCTTCATCCACCAGCCTGTGTTGATACTGTACTGATATAGGCCTTATACCTATACTACAAAGCACTTGGACCTCTGTGATGCCTCTTTGGCCTAAAGCACAATTGTTTTTTAGTTCTGGGTTTTGTTTTTCTTTTCAAATTCTAAGTGGCTGAAGTAGTGTTCAAATGCTATGCTGCAGACCATGATTTGCATTTTCATAGCTTGAAACTGAGAATTCATGCTTCATGGGCTGGGGTGTGATCAGAGAGTGCATAGGGGTGTTGAAGTTTTTAGTGTGGGAGGATGGTGGAGGAAACCAAACCCAGTGTAGTTTTGCCCACGCAGCCCATGGGAACTGGTACACACAGTCTCCAGAACTGTGACCGCGTAGCCTCAGCGTGAGTCTGGTTAGCAGGACCAAGCTATGCAAGGGCACTGTCTAGCAGCTGACTTGTGTGGATGAGCAGCAGTACAGTGCTTGAGCTCACTGCCTGGACCTGTTTTATTTAGCAGGAGGCACAGTCCTGGTCTCATACTCTCTGCTCAGCTGACCCTCTAGCTCCCTGAGGAGCTAGTTCTTTGTACTACAATTCAGACTTTGCAGAGTCTCTTGCACTGACAGACAGATCTCATCCATTCTAGCCCAAGAGGCACGGACTGATCCTGTGGCATAGGCAGCAACACTATGAGTTTGCTTCTCTTACCGGTATTGAGCAGCTTTCACTCCTCTGCCAGACAGGTGGGTATGAAGCAAGTAGGCAAAAAGACATGCAGATCTGGAACCAGCATCCCATTCATCTGCAGTTCAAAATGAAGTAGGTCAGAGTCTGGCAGTCAGAGCTCAGCACTGCGTTTCAGGCTCTGTCAAAAGCCTGATGGAACTCGTGTAATTGTTAGCTTATTTTTTTTTTTTAAAGGGAGGTTTAAGCCCATTTCCTCATGTAGGTCACTACTGATTGAAAATTTGCTCTGGTGAGCCTTTCTGAAAATTGCTCTTCTGGCTTTACGTACTGTGGCATAGTTATCTGAGTTTGTGATATCTCATGCTGGATACTGTAAGCATATCTTGCTATCAGCTATGTAAAAAACTAAGACAAGACACAGGAGAGGTAATAAGTTAAACATGCACATACATGAACTCTAAGAAAGAGCAGATAATAGAAAGAGTAAAAGCAGAAATTGTAAGGCACTTATCAATGGACCATTAAAAGAACCATCAAAATGTAAACCTTAAAAGGTTCAAAGAAAATCTTTGAAAATTGATGAAAAGGAGAAAAACAGGATTACCTCAGGCCTCATAAGAGGGAGCAAACTTATGGGTTGTTTGAGGGGGATTGTGAGACTGTGTAAAACTTAAGGGATGTTCTAAGTGGATTGTGAGAATGTGCAAAATTTATTGTGTGATGCTTAAGGAAGAGGTCAAAGATAGGGAAA